GCACCGCCTCAGGCCTAGCGGTAGGAAGCGGGGAGGTCTGCAGGTGCCACACACCCAGCTCTCACCCTCACAGCCTTGGGCCCCACCTGCCTCACGTGCAGGCTGAGCTCCCTCCCGTAAGATGCTGTGACTCACAGGGGAGAGGCTGGGGCTAGCCCTCCCCTGAAGGCACTGCCTGCCCCTTGCTGGACTGCCACTGCAGACCACATCTGAGCAAAGGCCTGCATCACTGCAATGACTTCCACGGCCCACAACTCTGCCCCACTCCTAGGGGCACTGGGGCAGGGTATTCACCTGGTCTGGGGCACAACGGGCCAGTCAGCATCCCTCTCCATGGGGTGAGGACAAGGACCTGCCCATCCAAGGCTCAAGAGGCCATGCCAGGGCAGGGGAGAGGTCAGAGCCATCCCACTACCAAGGCCTTGGCGGAAACCACACTAACCATAGACAAAGGGCCACTGGAGGCTGACTGGGCAGGCCAAAGGAAGTCCTGGGGGCAGGGGCTAGGCAGCCAAGCCCTGGCAAGTGAGGCAGGGATGGGAACCCCCTCCCCAAGCTGGCTGCGCAGGAGTCAGGAGTGGGTCTTGGGCCACTGCACCAGCCAACCACGGTAGGATAAAGATCATAAATAACCTCAACCACAGTAGCTGCTATGACTTACTAGTCTCTTACTAACAGCTTTAGGCATCCCTCCCCAAGTCCTCACAAAATCTCAAGAACTCAGTGCTGCTAACATCCCCATCATACAAATGAGGAAACTGAGACTCAGAGAAGTTCAACAACTCACTCAAGGCATGGAGCCAGCACTGTTTGTTCTAGAGTCCTTTCCCTTGACCCACCTAAACATTCTCCCACCCTGAAGCAGCCTCTCCAGGATCCCCTCTCAGCCCCCTAAAAAGCTTTCAGGAGAGCAGCTGAGACACCAGGCTCTGCATGGGCATGCAGCCACCTGCCTGCTGGGGCTCCACGGTGCTCGTGGGGCCACACCCTCAGTAAATCAGGGGCAAGCTGCAGCCACAGGGCAGAGAGAGCAGCCAAGCAGTCCCACGTCCTGACCTGATGAAGCCTGCAGTCTGGTGAGGGAATCTGACAGCAATCGAATCACCCCACCGATAGATGGACAATCACTGACAGGCCGAGAGGTCCTCCTGGGGTGATGACGCAGGGCTGAGGTAAGCAGGAATAACCTGGTGAATGAGGCAGCCAGCTCAAGATCATGTCCTGCAGAGGGAGGGACAAAGCCAAAGCCCTGTGGCAGGAAAGGGTGTGGCAGGGACTTCAGAGACAGAGCTGAGGACTTTGGACTTGGACATGGCCTCTTTCCACTGTCCCCTCTTAAGCCCATATTAGCAGGCCCCAGCTGTCCACTGCCTTGTCACCCAGGCCAGTTGTGAACCTCAGGGGTGACCCTCACAGTTCCTTGGCCAGGTCGACCACTCATAGCACTGGCTGGCACAGAGACAGGCACAGAGGGGCTCCCAGGATCACCAGATGCCAAGCCCAGTCTGCTGATCTCCATCAACCTCTGGGGCTGCATGGGGCTGGACCAACCCTCCAGCACAGCCCTGGGCAAGCTGCCTGGCCTCTGAGCTCGAGCTGCCTGCCTTTCAGGGCATCAAAGGGGTTACACAAACTCACACGTGGAAAGCCACAAGAAGAGGGCCGGCTGCTGTCAATGGCTCAACAGGCAACAGTCCCCACAATTAGAGAGGTCATGCAGGACGATGGTCATCTTCTGGCTTTGGATCCTGCCTGTCCTGGCTCCCATCATGGCAAGACACAGGCCCTCCATGAGCCTGTGAGGCCCTAAGCCAGTGCCTGGCACACAGGGCAGCATCTGTGCTCCCTGAAGGGACCTATTTCTCAACAAAGGAGCATAGGAGAGGCTATAATGGTGCACCCATTACGCGGATAGGAAACAAAAGGCAGAAACAGACAGGAGGGGGATTTCTCTGTGAGCTAGAAGCAGTGCTGAAAGCAGTGCCAGGGAGAGAGGCCAGCTTCTTACTACTCAACACGGACCCTATGCCAACGCCCAGGGGTCTGAGGTGGGTGACAAAGGTGTTTTCCTTTCAAATGTGTCCTGCCAGCCAAGGGAAGAGATAGACCCAGGGCACTGGAGAGCCATGCCCAGAGAAAGGCAGATGTCAGAACAAGCGAGTGAGTGAGTGTCTAAGCACTGCTCTCAGTCCCAAGCAGAAGAAAGAACACTGAGCTGGGGACATCCTGGTACCTTCTCTCTGGGGTCCAGGCCCCAAATGAGCCAAATGATGGGTGACACCAGCTGGCCCCTGGTGTGCCCCCTGCTCAAACACTCAGGGAGTTACTCCCAGCTCAACCTGGCCCACCCAACCTCTTCTCTCCCTGCCGTCCCCTCCCATCCCATTCTGAAGCATCGTATAATTTCTGTGTGCCAAAGTGCCTGCGTCAGCCCCATCCAGGAAAAGACTGCCCAAATGATCGGGTGTGCTTCAAACCCAGCCGTGTCCCCAAGCACCACATGGGCAGTCACCACTCTGGGTTCCAAGAGCAGGACTTGAGCAGGCAGCTCAGCTTGGAAGCCTCCGCAGGGCCTCCTCCACACATGAAAGCAATTTTCTGAACATTTCACAGCCGCTCTGAAAATGAACGTTTCCTCCTGGCACCACCACCTCACACACGAACCAAGGTCCCAGGAGGGAGCCAGGGTGATCTGATGGCCTAGCCATGTAGAGGGCAGATGGGGAAGCCCCCACCCACCTCCTGCAGAATTCCTGGGGGCTGTGGCACAAGTGAGAGAGTGGGAAGTGACTTGGAGCCGGGGAGGGTGTGGACAGGTGGCAGGTCTCCATGATGGTGCCTATTTGTCCAAGTCCCCTCCGGCCCCCTCTCGTTACAGATGAGACACAGAGCCAAGGAAGGCTGCTCAGAGTCCTATGGGGCAAGGGGTCCAGGTGCCATCCCAGACTCCAGTCCAGAGCTCTGCTCTGACTTTGGACACCAAGCCAAATCAAACAGGACCTCCCCAAGAGAGGTCCATCCAGGCTGGGACGTGGCCAGAGTGACATTCCCTCTTCTCCTCTGCCCCAGAGACCCCGGCTCTCCAACAGGCTCAGATGGTTCACCTTGTCCCTCTGACCAGTGCCCACAGGAGTGCCAGCGTCGGGAGGGTTGGCCAGTCCCATGATGCCCTGGGCCAGAGAAGACCCAGAGCTCTGCAGGAACGCGAAGCAGAAGAAAAGCTTGGCAGGCAGATTCTGTCTTCTTTCTTTGTAAAGATGAGGCAATTATGCTCTGAACTAGAACAGACTGGGGGGGGGGGGTCCTCACATCAGCAAGTCTGGAAGCCCTAATCTTCTCATCTGTAACTCCGAATTGCTGCTTCTGGAGGCGGGCAGAAACTGGGATCCTTAATTCCATAATAACAATGCTTTGCGCTTACCCAGCGCCTTTCCTCCAGTAATCGCCACACAACTCTGGATAGTTAATGAAGAGGCCACTTGCCCTGCCAGGAAGCGCCAACTGTCTGCTTGACAAAAAGGATGGAGTCCCCTGGGTGAGGAGCAGTTCCAGAAACAAGGCCGGAGTGGGACAGGTGCTCTGGCCCACTGCTCCTTCCCACGAGAGGGAAAAGCCCCTAAGTCGGCAGAGAAACAATGGCTGGAGGCCACAGCTCCCCAGGGAGTAGATGGTGCCCCTTCCTGGGAGGATGCAGTGTGTCCAACCTCCCACCTCAGTCTGTCGATCTGCAAAGTAGGGCCTGCTCCTGAGGCCTGGTCATGCCGCAAAGCCAGACTCACTTGCCACCCTCAGGAGGAGAGACCCAGATGCCCAGAGAGGCCAGCACCCAAGGGTGGAGCCATGGTTTGGGGGCTGCCCAAGCCTGACGCCCTGGCCACGAAGAGGGGGTGTCAGGCAGAAGAGAAGCCCCCCCACTGCCCAGGTGGAGGAAGCTACCGGTGGGGGAGGGGCGGGGGGTGTTCAGCGGCAAGAGGAAAACTTCCCGGGAAAGTGGGTGCACCAGCCGTGGGGGCAGGCAGGGTTCCCATCCAGCCAAGCTGTCCTGGGGGAGGGATGTCTCCGGGGACTGGCACAGACCCCGCCCCAAGCCATCCAGGTGGGGCCTCCGGGGCACAGCAGGGCAGCAATCCGAGGGGGCTTCCTGAGGGGCGGCACAGGCCTCCACAATCCCTCAGCCAGCCCAGCAGTCCTGAAAGGAGTCCCGGGGTGCGGCAGAGACCCCCTCCCCACCAGGCCTAGCCACCTGGTGCGGGTCCTGAGGGACAGCACGGACCCTCGCCTGGCCCGGCTGCCCTGGGGGCTTCCCGGGGCCAACAAAGACCCCTCCTCACCAGGCCACCTTGGGGGGCTCCGCGAGGGGACAGCACGGACCCCCAGCGCAACGCGGCTCTCCTGAAAGAGGATGGGAAAGCCAGAGAGGGGCGATTCCCCCCACCCGTCTCCCCGCCCCGTCGGCCCGAGCAAGCCCAGACGGGGCGACCCCCAGTCCGGAGCCCCCGCGGCATCAGGCCTGCAGAGGTCGCAGGCCGGGCCGGGGGCGGCGGACCCG